GTGGGAACATCTGCGGGTCTTGTGCCACTGTGGGGTCTGGCATAGTGTCATAATCCGAGTCGCGTACAGCACGGGGACCATCGGGAAGTTTGTCTGGGTGGTCAGGGGTGCGTTCTGTGCCCTTAAGGCGTCGGCGCATTGCTGGGGTCATGAGGCGGATGCCCAGGCCCTCTTGGGCATGGTTTGACACCAGCAGCTCCCATGGCACCTTCATGTCGACAACGACTGCATCGTCCCAGAACTTTGGGCCACCCTCGACCTGCAGGCAGACGGTGGCCCGCCCAATGCTCTGGTATGCCTTGTCTGACCAGATGGGGAACAGGTCTGGCCTCGAGTTGGTGCGGATACGCAGCTTCAACCGCTTGGCAGCAGCCATGGTGACCAGGCTGACAGCAGCGCCATTGTCGGCTACAGCCATTGCTGGCTTATTATGTGCGCGGAAACCGGGTATTTTCGTAAAATGGCACAGGGCGGCCTGAGTAGAGTTAAACATATTTATTGTCCCAATAGTGTAACTGATACCCAAGCCGCTCAGGCTTTTGGGTCATTGTTGCCATATGAAAGTAGGGTTATCTTGTGGACTGTCTCGAATGCCTTGAGTCGGTCCAGGAGGGTCTCAGCAGTGACATCATTGGGCGCACTTCCTGTACATGCCCAGGAGCGGGTGTCAAGGCCATGTACTAGGCGTGAGATAGTGACTGCAGCATAGTCGCCACCACCCATGGCCTTGTAGAGCCTGCGCGCATAGTTGACCCTGTCCACTGCAGGGATGTTCTTGAAGGCCTTGGCTGGGCCTCCAGCAGCGATGCTGTGTGCCTTGGCCACAAAGTCTGCTTGCGGGATGCATTCAAGGAGCTTCTCAAAGAACTCTTCTGGTGTGTTCACGTCTAGGGTGCCCATGCGTCTGGCAGCTTGTCCGTCAAGCAGCTTTTGGAGTGCTGTGACAATCATTACTGCAGGAGTGCGGGTAAAGATGAAGTTGATTGTCTCTTGGATCCCTGCAATCCACTGCTTGGTTGGATTTCCGATATCTTCGCCATTGAACCGCTTGGCATAGTCTCGGAGCAGGTCCAGCTCCTCTTTGGCAGCCTTGGCTGGGGTCTGGGCAGAGGAGGTGGTAGTCAGCTGGGCAGTAGGGGCAGTAGGGGCAGTGGCAGGAGGTATGGGGTGAATTGCAGTCTGCATTGTCACGTCTGACCTGACGGACATTGTTGTGTTTTTGTTTTGTTTTATGTATGTAAGCGAGTAATAAATTTTGTTATAGTAAGAGGGGGGTGTGAGGAGCACTAGTTGTCTAGTGGTAAAAGTTAGGGGTGATTTTATAAAAGGTTTTATTACTGATGTTTCTAAAGTACTACTAGGGGCCAGCCTCATCTTATATATGTTCCCAGTCGCCTTTGTCGTGCACATTGTCCATTGTGCGCTCCGTTGGTGAGAACTGGATCTTCTGCGAGTAGACCGGTATCTTGGCAAGTCGATGTTGTGGTTTTCGTGCGTGTACGCTTATGCGTGTGCATTACAGGATGGGGGGCATGTTTGGGCATCAGTGTGATGCCTCCCTGATTTGCACCTGCATTATCCAATTAGCGTCCTATCGATCAGCGCGCAGGTGGGAACTTGTTTCGCGGTTCTCGACCTCAACATCTGCTTCCATATCTTCAGTCTGCGCAACACATTGTTCAAAGCGCGTGAGCAATTTTTTTAACAAACAACTAAAACATTACAAATATATTTTGCAAAATGACGCAAGGTTTTGTAGCAACACAGCTACATTAACATTTTTGGCACAGTGAAAAGTACGTCACCTTTTTATTTAAGAAAATGGTATCGACAGCTATATAAAAACCAACATATACACTTATCATTACTTGCACCTCCTTTTTTGTTTAGAAAACCAATATTTTTTATCTACCTAACATTAATTATCCTTTTTTTCTTAACAGCTATGAAGTTTTTTATTTATCCTTGCGTTTGCCGCCATCACCGTATCAGTTGTCCTTGCACTATCTGATCAAGGTAAAAGTGGCCTAGAGTTTCTAAAAGATAACCCTGGGGTCGACGAGGAAGATTTTAAAGCCCTGTGCGACCTGTTTCTTGAATTTTCGGAAAAGGTGGGGAGGTTTTTTTTTACAAAATCAACCAAGCTCTAGTTGTCTATCAGGCTGGCAGCTTTTTTGTATTTTTTGTCAAGTACAGTGCAAGTATTATGCAAGATGAGGAGCTCAAGCAAAAAACAATATAATACTAGATTCAAGGTACTTTTCCATTATAATATTGCATTTAGAAAGCTAATTCCTAAGAAGTAGTAGTTAGTTGAGTGAGTGAGTGAGTGAGTTTTAATTATCGGGTATTCAGCTTAAAATTAATTGATATGAAAGTCATATGTTCAAAATATTAAAGGTTAAAATTATAATTAATAATTGTTAATTAGTAATCTGATGGCGCAATTGATAATGCGGAATCCGCACAGGTGACGTAAATGATTGAAAAAGGATGTGAAAAACAGACGTATTTCAGCCTTTTTTGTTTCTACATCTTTCTTAAATAAACATATTTTTTCTCTTTTTTAAAATTCAACAAATGTCTCACTCATTTGTTATAAGCCACAAGGGCACCAAGCGCGAATTCGATATTGACAACACAACCACACTGGGCCAGCTGCGAGGTCAAATCCGAGACGTGTTCGGGGTAGACCCAAGCAACCAAAAGCTTTTCCGCGGAGGCCTTATCAACAATGACCAAGAGACACCAGTAGCCAGCATAATTCCTCACAAAAGCCGAGTTGTTTTAATGGGCACAGTGACCGGTGAGCTCGAGCATCTACATGCGCGAGAGGCACTGCGACAAACGGCACAACAGAACCACGAGCGATACAAGGCGACATTGTCGGATATCTGGCGCACGCCCACAATGGGAAGTCTGAGCAGAGACAATATGCAGCATACGTTCCATGCATTCGAAGCTCTTGAGTTGCCAGAGAAACAGCGGGCGCTGGATCTCTTGCACAAACTGAGTAAAGATGAGGGCGTGCGGCAGATTATGGTCACCAGGCAGTATTCCGTCGGCACATTGCGCGAGCTTCACCCGTTTGAGCGCACCATTCTCGGGTACAATAGGAACCGCGGCGAGGTTATTGCGCTGAGGCTGCGCACGGATGATTTGGAGGGTTTTCGCCAGTACGAGAGTGTCAGGGATGTCCTGATGCATGAGCTGGCGCATATGGTTTGGGACGAGCACGATGAGCGGTTCCATAGGCTCAATAGGGAGCTGTGCAAGGAGGTTGTCGAGCTCAATTGGCAGCTGCGTGGGCAGAGGGTCGGTGGACAGGCGCCGAGGGTGTACGAGCCGCCGAGGCCGGAGGATGCTGAGCTTGTGGATGGCGGGTCGCTTGGGAGCGCTGGCTTTGTGCTGGGCGGCAAGGCACCTAGCCAGGGAGAGGAGGATGGCCAAAATAGCAGCCCTGATAGTCACCGTGACTTGGCGTACAAGGCCTGGGAGAAGCGGTCCCGAAAGAATTAGGTTTTGGTTTCGGCACAATCAATGAACAAAGAGAAAGATACTTGTGTATATTCAACAAAATAGAAGCGAAAAAAGTGCTGGGTTTAGGTGGCCTTTTTGGCAGCCTTTTTGGCAGACTTTAGCATAATAAAGGACAAGAAGCCAAAGATGGCAGTGACGCCGACAATGAGGAGGAACACGGGAAGCGCAATGGCGTACCACTGCGGAGGGAACAGCACGCGTGCCGGGTGGTCTTCGTCGACAAAGGGGATAATGAGCGTCCAGATGGAGTAGTATGTGAATACGAGCGAGCCAATTCCGAGGAGAGCTGCTCCCACCGCCTTGTCGTGAATCTGAGTCATTTTAATAATGTAGAAGGGAAGGGAAATGCTCGTCGTCGTGATGTGGTTGTGGAAAAAGTAGAGATAGAAAGGATAAATACGTGCGGGAATTAAAAGTGTTAGGGAAAAGGGGGCAATTGAATTGTAAAAGAAAAAGAGAGAAAATGTGCCTTATGTTTTCTTGTTTCCTTTTTGGCTTCAGCATGTATGCCTACTGACTGGCATTCACTTACTTGATTTTGAGACCGAGCTTTTGATGAGGGAATTGGAGATCAGCCCCCCCTTTTTTATTTGTGTGGAGCCAAAGAATGTTTTTTATTTTTCCTTCTTTTTCCCTCCCCCACGAATTTACTTACAACATATTTATTATTCACAATGTCTGCCGACAACTCTTTCAACGAACAGCAGAAGCAGCATATTCTTGACAATTTCATTGCGCAAGCCGGGCTCCAAAGCATTGCCGACGCAACCAAGGGCCACAAAACCATCGCCACGCGAGCCTTCAAGCGCGGCGACACCATACTCTCCATCCACCCGCTATTTAGCCTCCCGGTGCGCAAAAACGAAGACCACGATGATGACACACCGTCAGACCAACAAAACAAGCAGCAGCAAGAGACTCAGCCGCAGGATCGCTGTACACATTGCTTCAAAACACTGCCGCCTAAACGCCGGCCACGGTGCAGCCAATGCCACACGGCCTTGTATTGTTCCACGCGGTGCTTGGCTGACCACTGGAATGCACGGCATTATTTTGAGTGCGACCCGAAAAATGCCGAGAACAAGGGGGCTTTGGAAAAGGCAGAGGCGAAGATCAAGCCTGTGTACAGGCCGTATTTGCGCATGGCCGCAGGAGTCGCCCGGGTGCTGCAAAATATAAAGCAGCAGCAGCAGCAGGTGCCAGAGTGGCTTCGGGTGCAGGCGTTGGCGTGGGACCGGCTGATAAGCCACCGATCGGAGCACCCAAAGTACTTGCTCAAGCAGTACGCCGAAATCGCCAACCTCGTTCCCCAAGCACCCGGCTCCTTGGTTCCCCTGGACCCGGTGGACGCGCTGTGTCGCTTTGGCTGCAACAACTTTGCGGCGTTCGATGATTCCGGCGACCAGAATCTGCTGCAGAGCACCGGGCACTTATGCAGCCCCCTCGTGTCCCTGCTTTTGAACCACGCGTGCCTGCCCAATGCCTCCTTTGTGTACTCTGCGGGCGGCCGCCAAGTGGTGCGCGCCCTAAGGGATATAGCCGAGGGCGACGAAGTCACTTTGGCGTATATCGATGGGCTCAAGCCAAGATCGGAGAGGAGAAAGACGCTGGAGGCTGTGTATTTCTTCACGTGCCATTGCGAGAGGTGCGAGCTGTGTGGCTCGCCCAGAGCCCGCATGGACGCCCTAATGGACCGCTCCCCCCAGTCAGATAGCGCGGCACATGCGATTCCGCACAATCTGCCGACCGATTACGCACAGCCGCCCTGCGCCGACCCCTGGGTGACAGAGGTGACTCATGCTCTGCTCACCTTGCTGGCCAGCCGGTCGCGCCACACGCACGAGGCGAAACTCGAAACTCAAATGATCGATTCTGTCGAGTCACTCGACCAACGCGATCTATCGTTTGCTGCATACCGACACTGGCTCGAGTGCCAAGACGAGTGCCTCGAGCGGATCTCTACTGGTTCGGCCGATGAGGACGCGCACTGGCATTGGTCGTATGTGTCTGCACTGCATGTTTTGGCATTTTATGCTTTGGTGTATCCGCCCTTTCACCTGCTGGTCGGTAGGCAGTGCCTGTTGGTTGCGCAGCTGGCGTGGAACTCGTTGCAGGGCTCGGACTCGCACAAGGTGAATGAGAAGCTGGGGCTGTCGGAGGGACTGGTGAGGAACCTGGCGATGGCGGCGCAGAACGTCTTGGAAGCCTCGGGCGATTTGGAGGAGGTCATGGGCGGGGCCTCGGCTACGGAGAAGAAGATTGCACTGCTGCTGAGCCAGATCGAGTATGCTTAAAGAAGTATGTGGTGGTGATTTATTAATCAATCAAATCCCCATTTAGCATTGCATTTGCATACAAGGACATTGTCCACGTGGTGAGTGGCGCACCTTGGGCAACCAACATACGCATGCGAATTGACTGAAAAATGGAGGCTTTCGTCTTTATCATTGTTAAATTGGTGCTTGTCGCTCGCTTTTCTTTATTCTGCCTTCATATTTTTTATCAAAATCACCTAAGCATATTTTATTACACTTAAATGCCATGTCTGGGTTTATCTTCAACGAGCTCCTCGACAAACTGCGCACCAGAGACACCAGCACCACACATTTCGGCAGCAAACTCGATCTCCGCGTAGCCACCGCCAACGCCCAAACCCGCACAATCACCTATGAATACGCAATAACCAGCGACGAAGTATACCGCGGATACCTCGCCAGCGGATGGCTCTCCACCGTAGTGGAGAACGCAACGGATCCGTTGATTTGCGCGGCAACGAGTAATGGCAATATGGTGACTTCGTCATTGACAGTTAATACGCTGGAGCCTGTGATGGCTGGTGTTGTTGTGGAGATTGTCTGTCGGTTGGTGTTGTTTGAAGGAAGGATGGTGCAGGCCGTGGTTACGTTTAGGGATGCGAGGAGGAGAAACATTGTTTATGCAGCTGGCGTGCACACGCTTATTTACAAGGAGGGACTTTCTGCCAGCGGTGGCGGTGCAAAGATTTAAAGGAAACAAGGGAGGATGGTTTACAGGATAGTGTACAATATGTGCATGTGTGCGTGCTGGTTTGCTGTGTCAATCCCTTAATATTGCAGCGCTGTTGCTTGTCTTTAATTTATTTTTAATGAGCAGCAAAGCAATTCTTTGCATCGCACTTATAATTATCTTTTAAAATATAACCAGGGACCATAAAATACTCTGACAAAATCAACCCCCCATGGACGCACAGTGCAACGAGTTTAAGCAGCACGTTATTGCTTTGGCGAGTGCCAAAAAGAGCCACTACTACTACACCGCCGAGCTTCCCACTACCGTCACACACGCGAGCAAGCTCGGGCGCACAATAACCGTGCAAATCACCATAACCGCATCGGAAATCACCAGCTCGGGCTGCATCGACGAAGGCCTTGTCAGCACTGTGGCAGATTACTGGACGTCGACGCTCATAAGTGCCGTTCACGAGGATAGGCCTGCGGTAACCACCTCGTTGACTGTGCAGGCACCCAAGGTCATTGCGCCTGGGACCAAGGTGGATGTCGTTTGTTTGGCGTCGGAGGGGTTGGAGATGCCGTATGCCTCAGCCAGGTTTGCTGATGCTGTGGATGCGAATAGGGTGTATGCGGTTGCGAGTCATACAAAGTTTTTCAAAAATATATCAAAATGAATAGAAAACATTTAAAGGCAACTAAATTTGGAATATGTAATACTTTTTTCACCCTTCATTTTTCCTTTTTCTTTTATAAATACTATTTATATATCCAGTAATATGAACATAATCAATAATTTTGGTTTCGACGACGGCACATCCATTCACAGCATGGATTTAGATCAAGGCATTCTAACGCTAGAAATGGCCATTACTCAAGAACACATCAATGTCGCCGGCACGCTCGATGAGGGCCTCGTAGCCACCCTGGCAGACAACCACACGAGTTATCTCCTCATGTCCCACTCTCTCATCAGGAACCCTGGGGGGATGCCCATTTCTGTCTCCTCTCGCTCAACGTCCAAGCGCTAGCTCCTATTGAGCCGAATACAAAGGTACATGTGGTATGCCGAGTGGGCAATGCAAACTTGGCCAAACTGCATGTCACAGTAATGTTTGTTGATGCTGAACGGCCCAGTGTCGTGTATGCTTGGGCTTCGCATACAAAACACTCAAAGGATATTTTGGGCTTTGCCAATTTCAAAGCAGCAAAGATGTAGATGCATGGCAGCAGAGTGTATTTACCAATATTGCCTCTCTCCCCCTCCCTCCATCTATCCACCACTCCCCCCTCCATGAAAATAGGAAGGTTTTTTATATATTTACAACAATCAAGAGTACTTTGAACGCAACCACCTTTACTCACTACGCAGTCACCCATGCTTGCATTTGCAGCACACAGGCAAGTTAACATTCATCCGTGTTTAAAAATAAAAATTCCGAACAATTTCCCAACACAAAAATGCAGCCTCTACATGTATATTAATGTGGCCACAATCCACTATTTGAATGGGGGAGGAAAAAAGTATTTCTAAGCAACAATGCGTGTACATTTAATATCTCCTCCCCCTCTGGCCTTCTCCCAACCACAAGAGAGAATAGACCCATCAACCATAAAGCAATAACCAGGTATTATTGGTTTATTCATGTCAATCGCAGATAAACAAAATTTTGGGGTTTATTTTTACAAAATACTGCTGCAACACGTCCCACCTCCCTTTTCTCTATTTTTAATCATCGCACGCCAATCCATCTAAACTGTTAATTTTTATATATTCGCCATGTCGTTCACAGCTCTGGAATCATACAACTATCCTGTTTCTGTCGACGAGCTCACCCGACGCGCACATGCCAGCACAAAGAGCTCCTCTCAGCCAACGTCAAGCTTACTACACCGCCCATCAGCCGCCTCCAACTCGTCTCCATCCAACCCACTGGCTCCAAAGACACCCGCATCACCGGTGCCGTCGTCACATACTGCCTCACAGTCGACCCTGCAGACTGCAACACCTGGGGCGCCATCCACGGAGGCTGCGTATTCACCCTCTGCAATGCTGTCGGAAAAATAACCACTGCTGTGGTTGCCTGTGGCGCTAAAACATTGTTTCCACCGATCTGATACCAATTATCTCGCGGGCGTTAGGGTCGGCCGCCACTGTGACCATCGAGATTGAGTGCTTGCGCGCCACAAAGTCAATTGCCTTCCTCCGTGGGTGCATCAAGGACAGCAACAGAAACACATGTTATATTTGCGTGCAAAACGTCAGTTTTCAGCTGTAGCAACAAAAAATAAAATTTACCAGTTTTGATTGCTATATTAATAATAGAAATTAACTCGTCGATATTGGATAGTCCAAAAAATAAAAAATTTGAATTGGAGGACCGGGGTATCGATCCCCGTACTTCACGCATGCGAAGCGCGCGCTCTGCCATTTGAGCTAGACCCCATCTCTCTTCCACTTCTTGTTTTTATTACAAAATTCCACGTGACAATCTGAAATTTTGCACTACTAAAAATGGATACCCCAGTTCTCGCGTCCAGTGCCCCCGACGGCACCGGCACCACGGCCCCCGCCGCTCCGACCACCGCCCCGAACCGCTGCCCCGCCATCCCACGACCCTGCGCCCCGCAACTGACCCCCTGCCAGCTCACCCTCCCGCCTGAGAGATCCGGAGAGCCGGCACCACCCAACGCTCCTACGCCCAGGTGCTCCCCCAGACATTGGCTCCGCCAACAGCTCTGCCAGCGGCACCACCATGCCCAGAGGCGCACCAGCTCGCAAGACCCAGCGCGAGCTCGAGCTTGAACTCTACCCGGCGCTGACTGTGCCCACCCTGTCGCTCCACATCCCCAATGGACGCCCCAAACAGATGATAGCAGCTGTTAGTCGCCATGTCTTCGAGAGCATGGACCTGCCTGGAAACCTGGATCCCCGGGACCCGCGCAACCCCATCAGCTCCTTTGCGTTCGAAAAACATGCAATTAACGTGGTGTTTAAAACATTAGACAACGTGGCAAGTATAATACCATTCCCTCTCATGTGGGAGGGAATGGAGTATAAATGGCACTCTAAACACGGCAGCATCTCTGTCCTCGCCCTCCTCGGCGCACCCACCACGGCCACGCCCTCAAAGCTGAAGGGAGCCCTGAAGGAATTTGGCATTTTCACCCATGTTGACTCACTATTGTGCGCAGGCTATGCAACTGGAAACTGGATTGGATTCTTCCACCCCAAGGCCGGTGCTAAGCCGCACCCAAAGACAATCCGCCTCAACTATACCACCCAGGACATCAGAATAGTGGACTTCTCAGACACAATCGAGTGTGCACACTGCGGACATGTTGACGTCTCGCCATGCAGCTGCACACAAGCCACCGGCCATTGTGTCAAGAGGCGCTGCAGAGCCCAAGGCCAACGCGCAGCACCCCGCCCAATCAACCACCACCGCCGACGCTAGCACCATGGAAGCAGATATCCCCAGCCCTATTGTCAGCGGCCAGCAGGCCACACAGCCACTCTCCACCGCAGCACCATGTGCTCATGAGCAGAGTGTGCAGCGCACGGCCCCCACCCCAAACAACAGCGATGAGATTGTGATTGACATGTCTGACGAGTACGAACAGCGACTCTGCCATGTCACAATCTGCAAGCACCAATACCC